AAATACTACAGTGTTTTATTTTTCCTTTTTATTATTCAGTTCCTAAACTCATGTTAAAATGACATTTTTATGTAATGCTTGAGTAAAACACTACCGTTCACATTCAGAAGTTGTTGTAGGGGTGCTTTCTTATTAGAATCAGAATGAGATTTATTCACCACTTAAGTGTGCGCAAACACAAGGAATTTGTTGTGGTTTTACAGGAACTCTTGGTACATACATACATATATATATATGGCTGGACGATATGGCCAAAATTTATATCACGATATATTTCTTAATTTCGGTCGATACGATATCGATATGAACACTATTTTAAAAAGCCTTGTAAAAACTGCCAAGAACGCCCACAACAGATGTCTTTATGAAAAATGAATTTGCCAAGTCTATGACACCTCATATAAAACCATATAATACTTTAGAGAGAGAAAAAAAACAGCACAAATAAATTAATGTTCACCTTTTATTTTGTATTTAGCCTTCATACAAACAAGAAATATGAAATCACTGTCAAATAAACATCTCAGACTCACCTTATTAATATCTTCTAACATACCAGTCAAAAGTTTTTGAACAGTAAGATTTTTATTGTCGTTAAAGAATTCTCTTCTGCTCACCAAGCCTGCATTTATTTGATCCAAAATACAGCAAAAACTGACCGAATTCGGACTTGCGAATTCTCTCATTATAAACAACAAAGTGCAGATGTACGTGTGATGTAAGTATAAGAGATTTATTCATCATATAGTGTAGATTCACTGAGTTTAACGGGAGTGTTTTTAAAGTGCATAAACTTGCGCTAGTCTGAGCTTGTGAAGATGTTCTTTGGTAATGTAATGTTCTCTGCTCGTTTTCTGTAACGTTAGCTGCTTTTTGAATAACTGAGGAAATGTAAGCATTATAATTAGTAACTTATGATGTTTCTATTAATTTATGTTAAATACAAATTCAGTCATATTAAAAACATTAGGCTGCTTTTAGCCTTACACTGGAGTTGGTTCACTTTCTCGCAATGAAACTAAATAAATAATTACATAAATTAGCACGATAAGATCGTGTATCGACGATCTCATAGGCTGAAGATAGGACGATATGAAAAGTTAGCATATCGCCCAACACTAATTAATTAAATATATATATATATATATATATATATATATATATAT